CATTCAAAATCATGTTTTTGTGTACATCTTTGTACATATTTACAATAGCTGGTATAAAATCCTTCTCTGTTAATTTGTACATCTGAGTTATCTCAGAGTCTGTATCTTAAACTACCAATTTCCTAGTTATTCAATTTATTTTATACAGTTTTATAGATACTTAATTTATTTGTTTTATACTTATTTCTGTCTGGAGTTCTTCATTGCTTTTGTTTTCTCATTAATTAAAATAAACTCAACAGGAGAAAAGGGTTTGTCATTAACACCCGTACTGATGATATATTTTATAATTTTGATAGCCATTTAGATTACTATATAAACATCATTCTCCAGAGAAAGAATAAATAGAAAGAGATATCTTAAATATGTTAGTCCAGTGTTACACATCACTTTAAGTAAAACCTTAATTAACCAAGGTGTTTGCATTTTTGGCAATACTGTGGTTTAAATGTTCTCTCTAACCCTTGTGTTAAAATTTAATCCCCAGTGCAACAGTATTAAGAGGTGGTCCTTTTAGAGGTGCCTATGTCTGCACCGTTGGCATTGTGGAAGGAGTAGGGCGGTCATCACAGGTAGGAGTGTGGGTCCCCCTTGCCCCCCACCTCTATTCGCACTACATTCGCTAGCCTTTCCACTGTGTTATGGTACAGCATGGAGACTCTTACCAGATGCCAGCACCAAGCTCCTACACTTCTAGTCTCCAGAACTGTAAGCCAAATAAATTTTTATTATTTATAGTATACCCACTCTGGGGTATAATCTGTTATATCAAGAGCAAATGGACTAAGATAGTCAACAAAATGATTCATAGCCTACTTTCAGTGAGTCTTGTCTAGCATATTTGTCAGCTTTCCTGTTGCTAGGTCCTGACATCTACAGTTTAGAGGAGGAAATGGTTTTTTGACTTATAGTTTGACAGGTTTCAGTCCATGGCCAGCTAGTTGTAAGGCAGAAGCATCATCAGGGAAGGGAATGGCAGAGCAAAGCTGCTGAATTCATGGTGGCAGGGAAACAAAATAGGGGAACAGCACCAGAGAAGAAAGAGCCAGGAACCAGATATAGACCCCGAGGTTATGCCTCCATGACCCACCCAGACACACCTAAAAGTGTGCTTTGCTAGTTCTTTAGGCAGCTCCCTAAGCCAGTCAAAGGGACACGTGACGGTTCTGTCGTGTTGAGTAATATTTTAGAGGAAGGAGTACTATTACATGAGTAAGAAGTCCTGGGCTCTTGTTCTGTGTTGTGTATTTTGTGACTGTGCAAGTACATCAATCTGATTATCAATTTAAATGAAGTAAGGTATATGAATATATTATGAACTGTAAGCTAAGTACCTTGAAGTTATTAGAAATGTCAGCATCTACCCATTTTACCCCAGTAAGGAGATATAATTGAATCTTTTTTGTCTAGACTATTATAAGGCATTACCGAGAACATAACTTTTTAAAACCATTTGACACAGCTGTAGAAGACATATACTGAGCTGAATTTTTTCTACACTGACCCCAGGTCACAGCATTGGTAGGATTGTTCAACAAGTCTTAGATGTGAAGTTGTTAGAAAAGAGAGATGGATGGGAGTGGGGGAGAGAGAGAGAGAGAGAGAGAGAAAATATTTGATTGAAAATTGCAATTAGCTGTGGTCCAGTTAATTGTATTTTTATGGTATACTGTTTTTCTGTCATCTCTTCTAATTTTTGTACTCTAGAAGCTATAACAGTCACATCAGCAATTCAATTTATTTGTATCCAAATGTTTAATTTAACTGCAGATAATACCTATAGCTGCCTAGAACCAACCTAGGAGCGGGACAAAAAATGAAATAAAAATATTTTGAGTAGATGAAAACTAGATGAAATAATCTATTAAAACAACAATAAACTCTACAGTTTCTTGACTATTTACTGTGTGCCAGGGACTGTTTTAAGGACTTTAAGATATTTATAAGTAATCTTCACAATATACTCATGCATAATAAAATAAAATCTGTTAAAAGGATCTTTTTTTGTAGCTCTTCTATATGGTCACTGTTGATATTTGGAAACATTGCAGGTACTTTGGTCTTTGTTACATCATTTCCTCTGTAATAGCCTTCCTCCTTTCCCTTGGCTATTTTTAAAGATTTAAATAAAGCTTCTGTATTCTGTCAGACTTCTCCTTGATCATATAGAGACAGAATTAATTGCTCGATCATACTGTTGTGCTCCTAGGACAGTGGTTAAGTACCAGTAGTATTTGTCACATAGAGTCATCACCAATTGTCTTCCCTGTTTAGATTTTTACCCCTAAAACTATGAGCTTCCCTGAGGTCAAGGACTACATTTTGTTATCTTTATTCCTTTGTGATTGTCTAGCGTATTTGTCAGCTTTCTTGTTGCTAGGTCCTGACATCTACAATTTAGAGGAGGAAATGGTTTTTTGACTTATAGTTTGACAGGTTTCAGTCCATGGCCAGCTAGTTGTAAGGTAGAAACATTATGGGGAGCATCTAGTAGAGTTTAAGAGAATATGTTCAAATACATGAATGACTGAATGAATGAATGAGAGAGAGAGAAATAGAGAGAGAGAGCGAATAGAAATAAGAGAAAGTGGAAACATGAAAAATGAAATTTGAAAATACAGCTATATCTTTCCAGATGTGCTTCAACCTCATAGAGTTTGAACATGTCATTTCAGACAGTAAACTTTTTTAAAAAATTGAACAGAAATACAGTTGAATTTATACCTTCAACAAGGAGATTATATTTCCAAGTCTTTTTTGACACTACACAGCAGTAGTATGACATAGTAAAACCTAGTAAGAATTGAGAAGTGGTTCTAGAGGCATTGGAGATCTAGGAAGGACTTTTTGCTTTGGCTTTTTGGTCAAAGGAAAATGGACCTTCCATTCACTTTACAGGAAACGTGGTGAGAAAATCTGAGAAAAGGAGAAGGTAGGGTAGGATGTAAACTATTTGAAGGGAGTATAATCAGGAGAGAAAACTAAGTGCCATGTTTATTTTTTTCATCAAGGAATCCAAGAGCAAGTTGATAAGAAAAAAGAGCCATGCTTGCAGAAAAGAGAAGTTGAAAGCAGGTCAATATACTGCCAAGGGATTTCAACCCCACAAATACACACATTAAGAATAATGCCAGAGGGGCTGGGGATTTAGCTCAGCGGCAAAAGCGCCTGCCTGGCAAGCGCAAGGTCGTGAGTTCGGTTGCCGGTACCGGAGAAAAACTAAAAACTAAAAAAAAAAAAAAAAAAAAAAGAATAATGCCAGAGTATGGAAAAGTGGCTTTATCTTTCAGTAGAGGTGGACTGTTTGCATGCATACAACAGCTAACAAGCTCTGCTCTGAAGTTTTTCTAGACCTTATCTTTGGAAATAATACAGGCATGATAAATAAGGTGGGAGTAGAAAAGCACTAAAGATGCAATCATAATATCATCAGGTTTGAGTTGCTGATGAAGATCTGTGGGAAGAGTACTAACACAAAAATACGGGGCTTGAGTAAAGACCTTGAAGGAATGCAAAATGAGTTTGGAACTTGGCTGGAATTTTGCAATGTGTAAGAAATCGGAATAGGGGCTGGGGATATAGCTCAGTGGCATAAGTGCCTGCTTGGCAAGCGCAAGGTCATGAGTTCGATCCTCTGTACCGCAAAAAAAAAAAAAAAGAAATCGGAATAAAAAAAATAGGAACCCAGGGAGGGGGTATTTGAAATTCAATTCAGTAAGATCAAAGTAATGCAGAAGCAACGACATGAAGCAAAGAAATAAGAGAAAATATAAGCGAAGTCATTAAATGATGTCATAAGGTGGGGGGAGGGAATAGTAGGGAGCTTGATAGGACAGTAGGAGGCCAACATACTAGAAAGGTACAATGATTAATAGCAAATTAACATTGAAGAGTTTTAAAATTTTAAATATGATTCAAATTATAAATGACACTGTAGATTTCTTTTTCTGAAGATTGTCCCAAGTCACACTGAGTTCTTTGTCTTAGGCTGCAAATCCTTCCATACTCAAGAATATTGATCCAGATGGCGCATCTAGACCCCTGTGGTGTTTCAGCCTGGTTTTTTTTTTTTTTCTTAATAAGATCTTGCCTTTCACAGAAAAGTCTATAATTTGTGAAAAGATGTGCTTCAATTGAAAGTTTATCATTGGAGAATGCATAAGAATAGATATGTATCAGGGTAAGAGTTAAAGGATTTAAAGTGTAACTTTATTTAGAGTTCTTTAAAGGACTTCAAAGTGTAACTTTATTTAGAGTTCCTTAAACTAGCCCTGAAAGTTAGACCAATAGGGCGAAAGCTATTAAACTTGCTGCGTCAACCACAGAGGATGTTTAAATTCAGGGCCTCAAACAGAAATTTCAGAAAATTTACCCTGACCAACCCCCTTTGCTGATGCAAAGAAACTGTAAAGGAAAGAAATGGTCAACCTTCTGGCTTCGCAGAAGTGCAGGAACTGGCGGTATATTTTGGTGTATGCAGGTCATTTTAACACAAAAGTTACATATATGACATTCATTTCAAGTGTCTTCTTTGCCTCTTCATGGCTAGCTTTTTGGGGGAAAAAAGAAAAAGAAAAATATTTTAGCGTCTGACATTTAAGGAAATGTAACCCAGTTTTTTCCAACATCACTTACCTACTTCCTCTGAATCTCATTTGCCTGGAGGATTTTACAGGGTGCAAGGCCAGCACATGTAAGACATAGGAAGTACTCAGTGAGTGGTTGTGCCAGGAATATGGACAAGGGCAGTGATAGATGTATCTGTAAACAATATGTGTAATAATTGTATTGAAGCTGAGTGTGGTGGCACATGCCTGTAACCCCAGCATTCTGGGAGGCTGAAAGAGGAGGAATACAAGTTTGAACGCAGCCTGAGCTACTCAGAGACTTGGAGAGACCATGTCTCAAAATTTAAAAGAAAAAAAAAATATTTAAAAGGCTAGGGGAGCTGGGGATATAGCTCAGGGGCACAAGCACCTGCCTGGCAAGCGCAAAGTCCTGAGTTTGCTTCTGGTACAAAAACAAAACAAAAAAACAAAAAAATAAATAAAAGGCTGGGGGATGTAGGTCACTGCAGAGGCTCTGGGGTCAGTCCCTAGTACCACACCCAAACAAAAAATGCTCAGGGTTCTCTAGAGGACCAGAGTCAATGTAAAATTGCAATCTATAATTAGGCAAGGGGACTTATTAGGTAGGTGTGTGTGGATTAGAGGTGGACTTGTTCACAGTGCCTTTGGTGATGCAGGAGGTCCAGCAGCTTCTCAATTGCAGAACTGGAAGGCATGGAGCAGGAGGGATCAAGGAGCAGTGCCGGTCTGAAGTTGGAAGGCTTGGCACTGCAGCTCAGGGGGAGTTGCTGCTGTGAGTCTGCGTGGGAAGGCTGCGGACACTGGAGTGTGATATTCGCAGACGAGGGCAGCAAAAGATGCACCTGCTTAAGCAGAATGGAGCTGTTATTAAGTGCAGTCCCTTTGATTCCATCCAGGCTGCAGACTTACCGGACAATGACCCCCACAGACAGGGTGGGCTTTCCCCTACCAGTGTGCTGGCCTGCGCGCCAGTCACCTTGGGAAACTCCCGCAGACACATCCAAAGATGTGCTTTGCTAATCTGCTGGGCATTTCTTAATCCGCTCAGGTTGGCATATCACAACTAATGGTCAGAATGAATTTTAAAGAAAGCTGCATTCTCCCATTAAAGAAACATGAAGAGATTTTCTTTTCTAAATGAAATTCTAGTTCACAATAGAGAGAGGTTAAATCTTGTTTACGTACCTGAGATGCTGTTATTTATTTGTAATCCCAAACACTTGGCATTTCTGTTATTCTTTCATCTGTGTCAGTTAGTTACTAATCTGTTCACAAACCTAAAATGCTGAGAAATTGGAATCCTTGAATGGATTCTTCAGTGTATTGTGCCAGGTAGATGCTTGATTGTTGAATGAAGAGCTAAATAAAGATAAATGATCTATGTTGGTTGTTTTCAGATTCTTTTCATACGATAACCCCAAGAGGAAGGTTAGAACTAGGATCTTAGCATCACCTTTTAGTAGATGAAAACTTGAACCTCAGAAATTAAGTGACTAGACCAAGGCCACACACTAAGTAGCAGAATCTTGAAGGACTGTGGACCCCAAATTCCATGGCTTTATTATAGCACAATCCTGCTTGGTATCCTGCGATTGATCTTTTTACAGGATATTGTCTGTAAGCTCTGTTTTACCTCTGAAGGCACAGATGTGTTTATAGAGTCCTAAGTGAGACTTTATGTTGCCCTGCACTCTTCTACTGAGGACAAGAAAAGGGAGACAGTAGAGAGGCCTGGTGTTGGAAGAAATGTAGTGGGTGATGGACACAAAACTATCATGAAAAAAAAAAACGAGAGCAAGCCCAGGACCCTGCCTTCATTGGCCCAGATGAAATCCTTGTCAAAGGGGAAGGGAAGGGTTCCAGCGCAGCAGGATCTTCCTTCAGGCAGCATCCACTGTTTTGGGTTTACTGCTCTTTGATGGCCCTGTAATGACACACCTGGAGAATTAGCAGGGTCTTGACTTACGACAGCAACTTGGGTTCTGTACAAAAGTTCTTACTTATTCTCAAATTCCCATGCCCTGGGTCCTGAGAGAACAGCTAAGGAGGGACAAAGCACGTGGACCTTTCTCTTTTCCATCTGAGGAGTGGTGAGGAGAGAAGTCTAAGCAGTGGGCAGTGTAGCACTGAGGAACAGGGTAGATAGGATAGAAGGGTGTTGGGGAGCAGAGATGATAGAGGAGCCTATTTAAAGGGAAGTCAGCAAAGGACAAGGGAAATTGAAACCTTCTTATGAAGAGTGGTTGAAAAGAAAGTGGATATGTAATGCAGGAAGGGAAGAATCATTGGATTGTAATATTGCATTCAAATATTGTAAGGCTTACTGGCAAAGGAGGAATTTTGCTGGAAAAGGAGGTAATAGGATTGGGACCAACTTTTAAAAGTTATAGGAAGATGGATTTGGTCCTAGTCACTATGAGAAAGAATTTTGTTAAAAGTCCAAGTCACCCGGAAGTTGAAGGGGGCATGTCAGGAGATAAGAGATGCTCTAAGCACAGGCTGAATGACAGCCGGACAGTCGTAAGATACATAAGACTTAAGATAGACGTGAGCTACTCAGTAACCCCTGGAGGTACTGTTTCAGAGTCTTGTAATCTGTAGTAGAAGAGAACAGTGTTCTGTACACACAGGAACAGATTCATACATGTAGCTGTGTGTGTGTGTGTGTGAAATTTTAGCCTAGTTTACAATCCAGTTATCTGGGCCCTAAAATACAGAAATAATGGGAAGAGAGGAATGTGTTAGTTTCCTGAGGATGCTGTAGCAATGTACCGCAAAAGTGGGTGGGTTAGAACGAGGTCAATTTATTCTCATGGTTCTGTGGAGTCCAGAGTCACAGTATGGGCAGGACTGTGCTTCTTCAGGAGCCTGCCAGGAAGAATCCTTCTTGCCTCTTTTACTTTTCTGGTGTTTGCTGAGGTCCTTGACAGCCTCAGGCTAATAACTCTATCCCCTGATCTCTGCCTTCACTGTCACATGATGACCTTGTTTCTGCGGGTGCTTTTCTTTTCTTGCAAGGACATCAACAAGAGAATGGCCCATCTTACTCTGTGACCTTGGGTTAACTAATGACATCTCCAAGTACCCAGTTTCCACATCTGATCACTTTTTGTTGAAGTGTTGGGGTTTGTGATTTTGACATATCTTTTGTGGGGACATAATCCAGCAGGGAGAAATAAATAGAATGCTTTTTTTTTTTTTCTTTTGAGACAAGATCTTACTATAGAGTGGAGACAGGCCTAGAGTCACTAGGTATCCCACGCTGGCCTCAAATTCACAGCAGTCCTCCTGCTTCAGCTTCCCAAGTGCTGGGATTACAGGCATGCACTACCATGCCCAGCCAGAAATAAAATTCTTGCTCTCTAGTTGTTTTATTTCTGTATAAGAAGTTAGAGAGAAATATTTCGAGTCAAAGCAGCAAACTTGAATCCAGGTACAAAAGATTGATTTTTCCCTCTAAGCAGTGTTGTATGGCTTTGTGGATTGGGGAAATCTAGTAGATATTAAATATTTTTATCTGCAAAAAGCATTTCGTAAGGTTCTCAATGGGAGATTAATGGCTAAAATAAAGAATGAGGCATTAGGAGATAAATTTGCTTATGAGCAAGAGACAGAGACTAACGGTGGAAGGAAATACTTTTTAGATTGGAAAAGAGTGACATACAGCACAAGCCAGGAATCAGTTTTGGGACCTATGGGTTTTTCACTTTATTTTTATTGGACTTTATAATAAAAATACAGATCTTCAAACAGTCCAAGACAGAGTGAGTAATACTACAAGCATCAGTAATCAAAAGTTATTCTCTATCATAAACTAAATGACTGATAATAAATACTGACACAAGACTGCACAATGTACCATAATATTATAAAATGGAGCGGGTGGTTGTCCTGTGTTCTTTTTCCCCTCTGCATGGGTGAATATTTCTTTATTTGTTTTTGAAAAAAATATTTTCATGTTTCTAGGTTTACTTTATAAGCCAAATAAATGAAAAAAAAATTTTTTTAAATTTGGGGAGATATGTTAACTGCAGGAAAAACTGGTCAAAGCGAGACAAAGGTTATATTGCCATCACTAGAATAAAGAAATTAGGGACCCTGTGTGTTAAATTGCTCAGCAAGCTATTCAATGAAAAGACTTTTAAGAAGTGAGGAGGTGTTATTGAAATCATCAGCTTATTCTACAATCGGGACTTTAATGGAAGCATATACAAAAATGTCATTGTTAGGAAGATGAAACTACGTATCTGAGGGAGTAAAATAGAGCTGCAAATTTTTTTCTTCCCTTTTAAAATTTTAACATGGCTCTACAAAAATCCGTAAAACTCTGGGATTGTATACATCATTTTTTGCCTTCCCGATCACCCGTTAAGTACATGGAAAATATACTTTTCAAGTTGGAATTTAGCCTGCAACTCCTTTTGTCTAAGTTACTAAAAGGTCTTTTAAAAAATTCGTCTTATCCCCATTATTTGCCAAAGAAAGAGATTAAATAAAGAAAGAGATTAAATAAATACACAAATTTCACTCCTAAACATTGAAATACTTCAACTATAAAGGGTGTAAAGTATGAAAAAGGTTGATTCACTTTGAACCTTTCATTATACAATCAAAACAAATTCACTCTAACTAAAATAAGTAAATAGCCAGGCGTGGTTGGTGCATGCCTGTAATCCCAGCACTTGGGAGGCTGAGGCAGGAGGGTTGTTACGAGTTTGAGGCCAGCCTGAGCTACAAAGTAAGCTCAAGGCCAGCCTGAACTGCATAGTGAGACCCTGTCTAAAAAGACCAACCCCCCCAAACTAAAATAAATAAATAGATAGATAGATAGATAGGTAGATAAATAACTATATAAACTAAAGCAGGCAAGTAAATCAGAATACCACTTGGCAGGAGGTTCTTCACCTGAACTCCACAGTAGAGCTTCCTGAAAGACTTCTTAAACTGTTGAAAAGATCCAAGCCCTGGAGGATCTGGTTTTAATGGTCTTGATCAGATCCCAGGGAATCAGTACTTTTTCAAAAAAGTACTTTGGAGAACTTCCCCAGGTCCTTCTGTTGTGGAAGCATGAATGCAAACCTCTGCTCTAGAATCCATGTTTCTCAATGATAATTCAGCAAGTCTTTCTATAGGCACTTGTAGTTTAGAAATTATTTAGAGAAAGAGTGTCAGGTTCTGAGGGGGAACCTTAGGGATAGATAGACCACAGTTACGGGTAGTTACTTACTTTATGAGTCACTTACGTGCTACACTGAACCCACATTCCCAGAGAAATAAGATTATACATGGCAGTTTTGTCTCTAGGCCAGTCCAGAGCTTAGCTATGTAACCATAGCTCTGTAGGTTCTAACCAGCAGGTGTCACTACTTTTTTAAGGACATGAACTAATATTCCTGATTTGGGTCTCTAAGAACATTGTTAATCTGAAGCAATGCCAAGGTGTCTCCTTCCATTTTTAATGTACTAGGGTTAGAATTTGAGTAGGGACTTGCCCAGTTCCAAGCTCCACTGGGGATGAGAGAAAGTGATGGGTTGAGTGGTGTTAAGGGCCTGGGTGAAGACTGAGGAATCAGGGAAGAGGGAGTGAGAGTAGTTAGGAAGAATGGGATGTCAGGGTCCTGCTGTCTAAACACCTAGGGATAATTCCTTTCAATAGCATCATCTAAGAAGTAAGAAGTATTTCCCGGACACTGTTCTCTTTTCTAGAAGGACTAGAAAAGAGAGGAGAATCAGTCTGATCTCACCCCTGGCATTTACACAATGGCCTATGTCTTAGTCTGATAAGGAAGTAAAAAACAGAGTATGTGACTGATGCTGTGCAAATGAAGAAACCACTGGGACACCTTTTCCGTGCACTGCAGGAGCACAGCTAACCCTGGAGTCATAGAAGAGTCAGCAAAGTGAATGCCCTCAGTGTGAGAGTCAGTAGGTGTGGAGGTGCAGAACAGCACTTCAGGCAAAAAGATCATGGTTTCATTGTGCAGAGATGGCATATTATGGTGAGGAAGTCGTGGGGAAGAGGATAAGTGGGAAGGTGGCAGGAGAGGTAGGAGGTAGAGCTGGTCAGTTGCTTGGGACTAAGTGTCATCTAAGCGATCTGGGTTTCCTTGGTTGGGGATCTGGAAGGTTTCCTGTCTAAGGACTGAGCAGTAGACTGAATTGGGTAATCCATCCCTTTACTCATTCACTCTTTGGGGCTGATGGACTGTCTGCCATTGTCAGACACTGGGGACAAAGATGATTATGGCATCCACACTTACCCCAGACGCTTTGTAGTAGTGGTATAGTGGTTGGATTATCTCAGGGGTAGAACCCATGGGAACCCAGTGTGCTTGCTGGACCCAGCTCCCAGGAGGGCGCTGTGATTAGCAATCTGAGGGGCCAGGAGAGGGAGTGGAGCAGAGGCAGTGTGGTGGGGAGAGAGGAGCAGATGGCTGTGGGACGAGCAGGGGGCAGAACTAATAGTGCTTAGGAATAACTTTGTGCGGAGAGGGCAAGGGAGAGAGCAGGACTGACAGATTTGTCAGGATGGGGAATTTAAGAGAAACAAGGATTTTCTCCATCCCAGGAGCCATAGCCTCTACTTCCCTTTCTAAAACTTTCACCTGTTCATTCTGTTACTAATCTATTACAGAATGTACCCCCGCCGCCATTGTAGAATTTCTCTGTTCTTTTAACAAGGGAAAAAAAATTAACATTTTTAAAGGAAATCTGAGAAGGCTAGGAAGGTAAAATGCACTGCTTTTTTAGTATAGAAGCATTAGCAGAACAAAGTGTGTAAATCAAAATGAAGAACTACTACAATTGTTTCAGGGATTTTAGAGAAAAAAGAAATTCATGCCTTTGCTTGGATTATCAGAGTGATGGTTTGCTTGCTGGCAATGCAAGTATGAGTGTACTAGATGCTGCCTGTAAAAAATATATCACCAACTGAGGCATCGAAAGTAAGTTTCCTGTGTTAAGAAGCTGCTAAATTGGGCAGGGACAACAGAAAGGCACTGAATAGTCAATGAAATTGGAAAGAATTTAGATCATCCGTGTCACAAAGCTAGTAAAAAGCTGTTTGTAGAATATTAGCTGCTATCACACTGGTTTGATATTAACATTCTAGTGAATAATTAAAATATGCCTGTTTATTTTTTAATAAAAAGGAAAAGCATGTAAGTTACCTTAGAGTTTATAACGATACCTATAGTTGCATCTGTCAGATGTTGAGGTTTTTACCAGAAATGTGGATGAGATGACTGAGAAAATTCAAAAGCCAGGGTTCTCTGCTTTTCTCTGCAGTCTTATTTTACAGCATTCAATATTATAATGCTTTTCAGAAAAATAAAATAAAAACCCTTAAAGCCACTTTGAAGCATTTTCATTATAGTTTATATTTCCTAAATTGAGTGGTTATTAAATATATTTTTTCTGCTGGAGTTATTTTTGAAGTGCATTTCTCATTTCATTTTCTCTCCCTCAGCACATACCCAGGCAGAGCTGATACTGCCTCTTGCTGCCTTGCTTTTAAAAAATCCAGACTCCCAGGAGATGATCAGTTTCTTCCTTATAATTGAATATACTTCTCTGTTAAATCCAGCCCTTTCCGCTAACTGGTTTCCTCAGTTCTTTCTTCAGGGCTGGGGTGGGAAAGTTCAGTTTGTTATTCAAGACAAATGAATGTGAGAAAAGAGCACTTTGCACCAAGACTGGAAAGAGACTCATACTGAGTAGCAGAGACACAGTCGCTTGTGAAGCCATAGTTTTGTATGATGTGATGGATGCACTTAAAGATGTTCAGTATTTTAGTAACAGTAGAATTATTGGACCCCACCAGTTACTGAAAGACCTGCCTGAATTTTATGTCTGGTAGATAGTAGTAACTAACAGCATGAAAAGAGAGGAATTGCAGTGGAGGAAGGACAAGAATAAAGGAAATGGTGTTAGAAGAATAATTTTCTAAAGAGGGCAACATAATGAACTGGGAAGAGATCAAGACTGAATGCTCTGTTTCCTGCTCCTTAGAGTGAGTCAGACATGCTGGAGTGCTAGAGAAGCAAGTATTTTCCTGGAGACTTTGTGAGAGTTCAAGTGCTTTGGGAGGTCAGAAGGGAAGTCCTGGTATGGACTTTTCAAACAAAACATTACTTTCCTCAGTGCCCCAATACAGTCCAATTAAATAAAACTGGG